GATATCTCGTCCGTCCATTCGTCGAGGTCTGGTGCGACGATGCGGCGTACGATGTTGATTTTTTACTCGCGACTTTTATCTGCTTGAAAAATCGTCGCCCCTTTTGTACAGGTGCGTTTTCCCGGACCTGGTGCACTACAGCCACCGCTGATCCACCCCTATCCCTCGCTTTTCTCTCTCTCTCTCCCCCTCAATCTGCCATACCGGTCCACCCCCTTCGGTGGTCGCCCCAGTTTTCTTGCACGCCGACGAATGCAAACTGCCCGCACGATCGATACAAGTTTCATAAATTAGCCAACCGCCGCGTCGATGTACACGTACGTACAAGTCGCCCCCATACACGACGCCTCGCCATACGAGCGCAATTACGTTCGCTGCATTCGTACCGCGTCGTTTTTCACGAATGCTTACAATAAAATCTAATGGCACGCTACGACATCCCGGGAAATACGCGCGAGTGCAACAAAAGTCATTTTTCAATTTAATATAAAACCATTTTTATTAGTATTCGCGTCCCGGCACGGCATTCTTTACATTTTTTTTCTTTTTTAGGACCAAACAACGAATCCTTTATGTATTTACGCGCACAGGTATTACGATTACGAAACATATTTTGGGGAAAAAACAGTGTGTTTTATAATGCATAAAACGCGCATATCAATCAACAAAAGGGCAGAAAGTCCAAAACGTAAGCGGGTTCCGTAATTCGAAAGTGCGAATGGTGGAAATGTCGAGGGAACGTAATCTGGTCCACTTTATCATGAAAGCCGCACAAAGCGAGCGCGGCTCCCATCTGTCTCTCACGATCTGTTCTCGAGGACGATATTCACCAGGAATTTTCCACAGCGCGTACGTATTGCATTGTATCTTTCGCGTATCGCAATCATAAAGGACTATATGATAGTTTTATCTATGAGAAAACAGGGCATATTGAACGATAAATGTCTTTCTCCCGTAAGATTATTGATACATGATATAGCATGCGCAATAAATCTGATATTATACTCAGTCTGAATCCCGTTACGTTCTATTTACGAAAATGTTCCATGAACCACTTGCTTCAAAAAATCGCATCGATGGAAATTGACGTCATTTGCGTGTGAAACATATTCATCGAGAGGATTTCTTTTTTTTAGTTGTACTCGGCAAAATTCTTCTACTGGATATCGAATGCGTTTAATATTAAAGAAAAAGTGTCTTCTAATCATTTGCAATAGTAAAAAAAAAATAAATATTTAAA